ACACGTGCCATATGCCGACCCTGGCGGGGCCCAGCGGAGGCCCAGAGCAGAGTGGTGCGACCGCTGGTGCTAATATAATGTGTCCTCCTCCTCCTCGTCCTCCATTCCTTCTTCTTATATAGATCTCCTCTCCGAGCCGCGGCCCAGCCTGGGCCGTCCGCCTCCTCGTCCTCCGGTCCTCTCCTCGTCCTCCTCTCGAGGAAGAGCAAACGCCATAATCGTTGTTGTTGGCGCTCCGCGCGGATTTCTTGGATCCGTGCTGGGCCCCCCCGGCGGCGCCTCTGGCGACGCCCCTGGCTCGCTCCGCGCGCCAGGGAGCGGGGTCCAGCGCAGATCCAAGAAATCCGCGCGGAGCGCCGAAAGTTTATGCTTATGGCGTTTTGTCTTGTTCTATCCTCCTCCTCGTCCTCCATTCCTTTTCCTTATAGATCACTTCTCCCTGTCGCACCCCGGGGCTGGTCGGAAGGGTAGGCTCTGCGTGTCGCCTGTCTTGGAGCTCGAAGTATGTAACAGTTTCACGGATGCAGTGTGACTCTTGCTCACCTTTTCAAAAACGGGCTCTCGCCTGAATGCCGTGCACACTCGTTTACGACATTGAAAGAGTTCCATGGGTGGAAGGCGGGTGGATTTCAAAATGCGGTTCTCGCCTCAGCGCCGCGCACGCCCATTTCAGAAAAATGCAAGAGCTTCCTGGATTGAGGTCGGGTTTTTTTCAAATGCTGTTCTCGCCTCAACGCCTCGCAGATCCATTCTTCAAAAATCAAATGTTTCACTGGTGGAGGGCGGCTCCTTTCCAACATGTGTTTTTTCGCCTTAGCGCCGCGCGCATCTTCTTTTAAACATTGCAAGAATTTCACGGGTGGAGGGCGGTTCCTTTCCGAAAAGTGGCTCTCGCCTCAGCGCCGCGCACATACGTTCTAAAACTTCCCAGCAGTTTCAAGTTTATCATGGCTAACGTCACAAACATGGTGTTTGGCACGATGTCCACTTGTCAGGGCGCAACCGTTACATTGAATCGTGGTGTTGGAGCCCCAGGAACGGTGTTCTGGCATGATTCAGGATCGTCAAGACGCAACAGTAGCGGTGAGTCGCGGCATTGAAGTCCCAGGAACGGTGTTCTGGCACAGGGTAGAATTTTGAAACGGTTGTCTTTCAACGGGGCACTTCTTCAGTGGGAATGAATCTTTGTAGGGGCCTATGAAGTGGGAACTTGGAGGGAGGGTTTGCTGCAATATCGTTGACCTGTCTTGGGTTTACACTGGTTCTCCTCCTCCTCCTCTTCCTCCTCGGTCTGGATCCGTGCGTGTGCAGGTACATGCCCAGACACCCGAAGATGAGATGCCTTCCATGCGCAACTCCAGAGGCCCCGACCCTTCCCTTGGGGGTAGTTCTTCGTCCTGGATCCAGTTTTGATGGCTCCATGGGCCCAGGAACGGCCCCCAAGGCAGCAATGGAGGATAACCACCCGGAGTGAAAGAAACATGCGGATGGAAATTTAGTTTAGCGTGTTTCAGGGTTAATCGTCGATCCCCCGGAAAATATATGAAAATATGGGAAGCGGGGGGGGATACGAAACCCAGAAGACGTACGAGGAGAATCCTGGGTTTGTGTCTGTTCATTTGCTGGCCCCCCCTCTGTTAATTAAAGCTGTGCGCGGCCCGCTTAGCTTCGACCGGAAGAGGTGCGCTCTCGACCCGCGGACCAAAAAAAGTCTATTCATTTGTGTGTCCCTGGGCCCCATACGTGTTGCTCCGCCCGCTCTGGCCTACCGCGCTTCGGGGCGAGACGCTGTCCACTCCCCAGTCCCCCGCGTCCACGTCCCACGCTCGTCCGTTCCCCCCCGCCCCGTGGAGTGGACCGACGCGCTGTCCGCTTGCAAGGCACAGCGTGTCGCCGGGACCGCCGCCGCGACACGCTTGGAGTTCCCGACCGTGGACGCCCGGATGGAAAGAGACAGGACGTCGAAGGTCTGGGTGCTCCGTCCCAGGCCCCCGACGTCGTGATTTTCCATGGCGCGAACCCCAGACGTCTGGACCCATTCCCCAGGACCGGTTTTTCATCCTGAGTCGTGTTTGACGGTCCCGAAGGCCGGTGAGGGCCCCCAGAGGCCGAAAACAAAGAAAAATTGTCGATCGTATTTTTGTTTCCATATCCTAGGATGGGGTTCCTGTTATTACTTACGCCCCTCAGACTCGCACATCACTCAGACTCACTCATGCTCAGACTCGCTCTTTCTCCTTCAGACTCACTCATCGCCTAGATGCATCCATCACTCAGACCTAGACTCGCTCATCGCTCACACACTCATCACTCACATGTGATGATGATGATGATGATGATGATGATGATGATGATGATGATGATGATGATGATGATGATGATGATGATGATGATTCTGATGATTCTGATGATTCTGATAATTCTGATGATGGTGGTGATGATGCTGCTGCTGATGATGATGATGATGATGATAATGATGATGATGATGATGATGATGATGATGATGATGATGATGATGATGATGATGATGATGATGATGATGATGATGATGATGATGATGATGATGATGATGATGATGATGATGTCGGAAGAGATTCTGAGGATGTCTCGAGCGAGGCGCGGTTTCAGCACCCCCAAGGGGGACCCGCCAGGGGGTATCTCACTCTTCCGTTCGCGCCAGAATGGCGGGGATGTCTCGAGCGTTTTGCCTGTTTATGCCCCCAACATCCTTCGCTTTCGGAGCAGATTTGGAGGATGCCTCGAGCGAGGCGCCCCCAAGGGGGAGCCGCCAGGGGGCATCTCACTCCTCCATTCGCGCCAAAATGGTTGGGATGTCTCGAGCGGTTTGCCTGTGTGTGCCCCCAACATCCTCCGCTGTCGAAACAGATTTGGAGGATGTCACGAGGATGCCACAGGAAGCTCCCGCAGGCTCCAAGAGGCCACAGGAGGCCACATGAGGTCCCAGGAGGCATCAGGAGGCCACAGGAGGCCACAGGAGGCTCCAGGGGCCCCAAGAGGCTCTAGAAGGTCCCAGGAAGCACCAGGAGGCCACAGGAGGCCACAGGAAACGCCAGGAGGCACCAGGAGGCCCCGGAAGACCCCAGGAGCCCCCACGAGGCCCCAGGAGCAGGATCCTGCCTCAGAAGGCCACAGGAGTGGCTCCAATCCCCGGCGTTTTACATATGTTTCTATCGATTGGGCCTCCCCTGGAGTGCGAATCCTTTGTGTTTACGATTGTTTCTAAAAAGTGTCCTTCTCCTGCGCATCCACTCCTCAATGTTTTACATCGGTTCCTGTAGATTGGGCCTCCCCTGGGGCACGAGTCCTTGGTGTTTTACGCGTGATTGCCACTCTCCTGCGGCTTCAATCCGGAGTGTTTTACGTCTGTTCCTATAGATGGGGCTTCTACTGGGACACGAATCCTCCCCAGGAGGCCCTATGAGGATCCAGGAGGCTCCTGGAGGCCCCAGGAGGCCACGCGAGGTCCCAGGAGTTCTCAGGAGGCCACAGGAAGCCCCAAGAGGCCACAGGAGGCCCCAGGAGGCTCCAGGAGACCCCAAGAAGCCCCAGGAGGTTTCAAGAGGCCACAGGAGGCCCCAGGCTCATGCGCAGAGACGCACTGGTACGATTGAGACTCATTCGCACTCCTATTCATTCACAGTTAGATTCACTCCCAGACCGTCAATACTCAAGCCCACTTCTATTCGAAAGCTCTTGCGCCTAGACTCTCAGGCGGACAGGTCCATGCTAATAGATGCACATGTGGGGAGCTCCAGGCAGTGCGTACTTTCATGACTGAAGGGGGTCTCGGCATTCAGTTGTCGTCCTTCCTGGCCCGCGACGCGACCCTCGCGGCGGCGCTGAGGTGCCCACCGACACCCCGGACGCGCTGCCGCCCTCGTTCTGGCCCACGCACGCCTCGAGGCTCGGCGCGGGGGCCCCGGCGGACCTCCGCAACCCAGGCGCCCCCCTCCGTCCTCCTCGTCCTGGCCCGCCCTCGTGCTTATCACCCTTCTCCTCCTCTCTCACTCTTGATTCCCGACCATCCTGTGGTGTTGGATCCTCGTTTTGAAGAGACGGTGCCCCGCGTTCCTCCTCCTCCCGCTGCCCCCCCCCCTCCTCCTCCCACCATCGTCATCATCGTCATCGTCGTCATCATCATTATCGTCATCATCAAAATGCCAGCGTTCGCATGCGCCCACCGCACCCATTTTGGCACAGTCCTCACACGGTCCGTGCCCCCTTATAGGGAGTCCCACCGGAGACACACATGCCAGCGTTCGCATGCGCCCACCGCAGCCATTTTGGCACACCTTTCACACGTTTCGGGGCTCCATACGGAGCCCCACCGAAAGCCCAAATGCCAGTGTTCGCAGGCGCCCACCGCAGCCATTTTGGCACACCACTCACACGTGTCGGGGCCCCATAGGGAGCCCCACCGAAGGCCCACATGCTAGCGTTCGCATGCGCCCACCGCACCCATTTTTTTGGCACGCCCCTCACACGCTTCGTGGCCCCAGAGGGAGCCCCACAGAAGGTCCACATGCCAGCGTTCGCACGCGCCCACCGCAGCCATTTTGGCACACCCTTCACACGTTTCGGGGCCCCATATGGAGCCCCACCGAAGGCCTAAATGCCAGCGTTCGCATGCACCCACCGCACCCATTTTGGCGCACCCCTCACACGTTTCGGGGCCCCATACGGAGCCCCACCGAAAGCACAAATGCCAGCGTTCGCAGGCGCCCACCGCACCCATTTTGGCACGCCCCGCACACGTGTTGTGGCTCCATAGGGAGCCCCTCAGAAGGTCCACATGCCAGCGTTCGCATGCACCCACCGCAGCCATTTTGGCACACCGCTCACACGTTTGGTTTCCCCATAGGGAGCTCCACCGAAAGCGGAGCATACAACGACGGTGCCCACAACTGCAGATGCTTGGGTTTTTCGCCAGGCTAATGTTTCCTGGGGACCTTCTTGTGACCTTCTTGCGACCCTCGCAGGCTACGGGGAGCCAAAGGACGGCAGGCCGTCGTCATTCTACCACTACCCAGACGCGGTGTTCTCCGACGCCATCTCGACCACTACCCGGGAGTGGCTGAGGTCGAAGAAGAACACATTGCATAAGCATGCACTTGTGGAGCTCCGCGTGATTCTTGGACTGGCGCTAGGCCCCCTGGCGGCGCCTCCGGCGCCGCCCCTGGCGCGCTCCAGGGAGGGGGGTCCAACGCCGGTCCGAGGAAACGGCGCGGAGCTCCCAAAGTTTCTATGTTTGTGCAGTTGCTCTTTCATCTATGAGGGCATGCTGGACGGACGTGGACAGGGTTAGGGAGATGATGCTCCAGTCTGGCGAGGTGCTGCCCTTTCCTGCTGTACTGTTCCAAGGAGGGCGCGTTGGGACCCCCGTTTTGGGCCTTCGGAGGGGGGGGACCTCACACGCCCCGCGCAGGGAGGGGTCCGGGGACCGATGCTGAGCTGCCCTGGTCTCCACTCGCCCTGCTCCGGTTCTCGTCGTGGTCATCCCCCGTCATCGGTGCATCAGCATCCCCCCTCCAAACTTCTGGAGAGTGACCCGAGCAGATGCAGTTGTGAGTGCCGCGGCTGTGAGTATCGTCTTCGGTGGAGCTCCCCGTGGGGCCACGAAAGCTGTGAGGGGTGTGCAGACATGGGCGCGGCGGTGCCATGCGGGCGCTGCCACTGGGGCCTTCGGTGGAGCTCCATGTGGGTCCGCCGAACGTGTGAGGGGTCTGCCGACATGTGCGCGGCGGTGCCATGCGGGCGCTACCACTGGGGCCGTTGGTAGAGCCCGTATGGGGCCGCCAAACGTGTGAGGGGTCTGCCAACATGTGCGCGGCGGTGCCATGCGGGCGCTGCCGCCAGGGCCTTCGGCAGAGCCCGTATGGGGCCGCCAGACGTATGAAGGCTCTACCGAAAATGCATGCGGCGGTGACATGCGGGCGCTGCTCATGGGGTCTTCGGTGGAGCTCCATGGCCACGAAACATGTGAAGTAAGCGTGTGTAAATGTGGATTTGAATGTGACTGCGACTGTGAATGTGAATGTGTGCATGTGCGTGTGCGTGTCCGTGTGCGTGTGTGTATGTGTATGTGTGTTGTGTGTGTGTGCGTGTTGTGTGTGTGTGTGTTTGCTTGTGTGTGTGTGTTCGTGTGTGTGTGTGTGAGAGTGTGTATATGCCGAAACTGGCGCGGTGGTGCCATGCAGGCGGTGCCAGTGGGGCTTTAGGTAGAGCTCCCTATGGGGCCACAAAACGTCTGGGTGTGCCAAAGCGGGTGCGGTGGTGCAACGCGGGCGCTGCCATTGTGGTCTTAGGTTGAGCTCCCTATGGGGCCACGATGCGTGTAAGGGGTGTGTCGAAACGGGAGCAGTGGTTCCATGCGCGCGCTGTCACTGGGGCCTTCGGTTGAGCTCCCTATGGTGCCACGAAACGTGTGGAGGGTGTTCCGAAATGGGCGCGGCACTGCCATGCGGGCGCTGCCACTGGGGCCTTCGACGGAGCTCCCGCGAAACATCTGCAGGGGTGTGCCGAAACGGATGCGGTGGTGCAATGCGGGCGTTGCCCTTGGGGCCTTCGGTTGAGATCCGTACGGGGCCACGAAGCGTGTGAGGGGTGTTCCGACATGGACCTGCGGAGGACCGACGAGGACTCAACACCACAGCTTGGTTGGGAAAACAACGTCGTGCGAGGTGAGAGACGTCCACCAAGGCAACGCCAACGGCTTCACAGGACTGCACATGGCCGCCCTGAAGCACAAGGTGGACATCGCCGCCCTCCTGCTCGAGAAGGGGCACGACGTAAACATCGAGGAATGCAATGGCCTCACTCCTCTGGACTACTGCATCGACAGTGCGCTAACAGACGGCATGTTCACTGACAAGCACGGCAGTCAGAGTTACGTCGCCATGGTGGAGCTCCTCGAGTCGAGGGGCGCAGTGAGGCGGCAGGAGCGAGCTTGGCTGACGGCCGCGAACCAGGAGAGGTTCGCCCCAAATCTTCCATAGGAGCATAAGGCATGTAGAGTTCCGAATAAGAGCTGCCCATCACCTGGGATGGTTGAGCTACGGGCCGCGTGGCATTCTCCACTCGCTCGGTCTTGGCTCCACCCCTTCACGTACAGCACTCCCGCATGCCCCTCTGCGTTACACAGGCCGTGTGCACGTGCTGTTCGCTGGATGGGTATGATCTCCTCCTCCCCGTGTCCCTCGTCCACCACACCTCCCCCCTGCCCCTGACCGCCTCCGATAAGCCTTCTCCAGAGGTCCCCAGTCCAGCGGTCTCAGGAGACCTCTCGAGGCCTTCCCCAGAAGCCCAGAACCTTCCCAAGGCGTGCAACACATGTCATCCTTCGATCGTCGAGGTGGAGGTGGAGGGGGGACGCACGTGATGAGCTCGGGTCAGGGACGGAACCGAGCGGTCGGAAGACGCTCTGAATCAGACGCCAATGCGCAGGGGCCCGAGGCCCAGGTTGCTGCCAGTCCGCCCCGGACGGCCAGCTCTCACGAGCGGCGAACGTACAGTGCCGTTTTTAATACATGCTCCGCGTGCGGATCATGTATCAACAATACAGGGATTGTGCATTCGAAACAACGATGAGTTCATGCATAGCTTCATTCATACATGAATCATGAATTAAAATTCGTATATGTTCAAAGATCCTATGTATTAAAACCTACCCTGTATCCATACTCACGCCCTCGCGGTCTGGATTCCGGGGCGCGATCCCGCGGACACGCTGTCGCACCGAGGCGTTCCGCGCGGGGCATCCGCGAAGAGGCGCCCCGCACTCGCGGGGTCGCGGGGCCCAGGGGCTCCCGGGGCCCGCGAGGCCGCGAGGGCGCGGGCCCGCGTCGGTCGCCCCCCTCTCGCGGCTCGGCGCCGAGGGCCCGAAGCCGGAGGAGCCGGGCCCGAGGGCGCAGGGCCAGCGGCCGACTTTTCTGCGGAGCAACAACGCACGGTGGAAAAAGAACACGCGCGCACCGACGCACACAAGAACACGCACGCACACACGCACACACGCACACACGCACACACGCACACACACACACACACACACACAACACACACACGCACGCACGCACGCACGCACGCACGCACGCACACACACACAAACACACACACACACATCGTGTGTGTGTGTGGGGAGAGAAACACACTTCGTGTATGTGTTGTGTTCACTGTGTGTGCGTGCGGTGTGTGTGTGTGTGTTTGTGTGTTTTGTCCAGTGTTTTTTTCCGCTGGCTTCCCGCACGCCAGCTTCCTGCCACTGCTCTGCCGTCACACGTTCCCCCCCCCCTCCCCCAGTCGCGGCCCCCCGAAAGGGCCAGGAGCACCCCAGAGAGCATCGACTCTCGGACCCTGATCCCTCCCGGAGAGGGAAGGGAGGGAGGGAGGGACGAAGGGACGGCGGGGGCCTGAGGAGGGAGGGGGGAGGAGGGAGGAGGAAGGAGAGAAAATAAAGGAGGAGGAGGAGGAGGAGGAGGAGGAGGAGGAGGAGGAAGAGCAGAGGAGAGAGCAGTTGGAGGTGGAGGCGCAGGCGGAGCAGCAGCAGGAGGAGCAGGAGCAGAAGGACCCCCTCCCTGCCTCGCCCGCGCTCCCCCATCCCCGCCCCTGCTCTCCGTGCACCCCATCCCCCTTGCTTCCCCTTTCCTCCCTCCCTCCATTCCCCCTTCCCTCCCCCTTCCCCCTTCCCCCTCCCCGCTCCCCCTTCCCCTCCCGCTTCCCCCTTCCCCCTCCCTTCCCCCTTCCCTTCATCCCTTCCCCCCTTCCATCCCCCGTTTTAATCTGATCACAACTTGGACAACAGAGGGCACGCCGCGGACATCCGAATTCTTGAGGTGACCAGGGCGCCTTAAGAAGAGATTGTGGCGAACGCGCCTCCACGTTCTCTGCCTTACTCTTTTTGGGACCGGGGCGCCCCCTTTCCCCAAGGTCAGGAAGCTGGGGCGCCGCGAGCGCGCAGGCCAAAGTATGGGGGGTCGGTGCTGGAGTCGGTTCAGCCACACCGTGAGCGCAGGTGTGCTGGCCTGTCGTGCGCACTCTGGGGCGACGGCTTGTGGTGTTCACCCCTCATCGGAGGGAGCCCTCCCAACCCGCAGCAGAAGAGAGGGTTCCCCTCTGCTAGACCCTGCGTTTGTGCGGTAACAACCAGCCAATCATGTGTTGTTCGTATACTTGCGATGATCCTGCTGCGGCCTTACGTAATAGTTTCTTACGAACGGCCTTACACAAGAATTCCATCTAGGGCAGTTTTGCACGGTACTTGGTTTGTGCCAACCTTTGCAGCGTGTATTCTTGTTATGGCGACTATACACGGTTGATTTCAAGTGCGTGTGTGTGAGAGAGAGAGAGAGAGACAGAGAAAACAACAAAAAAAACACCAACAGAAATTCTGCAGCGGCCTCCACACTTCAAATCCTTGTGTAGCAGCCTTTGTAAAAGGGAAATCCTTGCGTTGCGATGTTAATACAAGTGCAGTGGTAGTGGGTGGGACGCCCGCAGTGGCGTCGCCGTGCGGCCGAGAAAGCTAGAGAGGAAAACGGAATGACCAGAGAGCAGTGCAAAACACACGGCTTCCGCATGTGAAGATATGACAGGACGACAATTGTGTGATTGTCGCCCCTTTAATGATGCAGACCTCCGAACCAAGGAACAGTCGTGTCGCAGCCATTGCAATCCATATTCCGTGTGTGGAGGTCTCTCAACAGGATTTTGTGCACGGGGCACTTGCAACGGCCTCCACGCTTGAAATCCCGTTGCGGCAGCTTTTGCGAATGGGTTCCTTTCGTTTCTGCCGAACCCCAGCACTTCAAATCGTGGATGCAAGATCGCCACGACAGGACTCTGTGTGACGATCGTGTAATCAGGGTTTGAAGTGTGAGAGATCCGCAGCGGCGGCGCCGTTCGACAGAGAACGCAAGGTAGGAAATCTGGACAACATTGAAACACTGGTAAACTCGTTTGCGCTGTACGGAGAAAGAGGAACAGCTATGAAGACCTTTATGGTTGCCTTTTTGTTTATGGCGTTGTCCCCCACAGTGCAAATCTGTGTGTACAAGCCTTCGCCTAAGGATTCCTTGTGCGGGGATTCATTGTAAGGCGAGTTCAAGTGCGGGATATCATGTTTGCACGATCGCTATATCAGAAGTTCTGCTGCCAAGATATTGCAAAGAAAAGCATCACAGAGGGAGATCCGCACTGGCGGCTCCGTGCGAGAGCAAGCCAAGGAGGAACACAGGAACAACATGAAGCACAGGAACATACTTTGTGGCGTTTCCTGGTGGAAGCAAAACAACTGGGTCAACCTGTGACTGTCGTATGGTGCAGATCTCCACGTGTGGTGTCTTTACCAGAGGTGTCTTTTTGTGTGTGTGTGTGTGTGCAGATATCCGCATGTCGTTTGTTGCAGCCTTTACCAGAGGTGTCTTTGTGTGGGGTTCTTTCGGGGATCTGGGCAAAATACCTCCCATTGCAAAGGCTGCTACAAAAGGATCCTAAGTGTGGAGGCCATTGCAATTGCAGACAGCCCATACTGAACGTCTTGTTGAACGATCCCCACAGTAACAATCCTTATGTCAAGGATGTGACAATAATATTCTGGGTGTGGGGAGATCTGGACCAGTAGCGACAGTCACAGGCTTGCTGTGCCCTTCTTGAAACACCAGCTGTACAACGCTTTTACTGTTTACCCTGCTTTCCTGCTTTGCTGTCTCGGTCGCACAGTGCCGCTCTGCGAATCCCCCACTGAAAATCGCTGTTGTGTGAGATCGCCTCACACTAATTGCTTGTTTGTCGATCACGGGGCCCGGGAAGGCCCCCATGGAGGCCCCAAACGGCCAGGAACCTCCTGTTCAGACTCTTGCAGGACGCGAGCATGTCTGGGGGAGCAGGAGGATTCCGACATCCTCGCCGCTATCCCCCCTGCCTTCCGTCTTGCGCGACCCTTCTTGCCCCGCGCCCGCGCCCGCGCCCCGCGCAGGCCAGCGCCCCGCGCAGGCCAGCGCCTCCCCCCGCCCCCCGCGGGCTCCCCGCGGTCCCCGACGCCGGGCTGCCGCCGAGCGGCTGGCTGTGGGCCCGACTGGGGGCCCAGATGTGCTCGCGCCCGGAGAAGGTGGCGGGCAAGATCTACGTCCATGTCCGTTGCATCATGGACTTTCTGGGAAGAAGCGCCCAGAGGGCGAGGTGCACTGGATATGGAGTAAAGTCTAGCCGCTGGGGGCAAGATTGTAGTCCACGTCCACTGCGCCTCTAGCTACCCTGAGGAATGGTGGAGCCCGAAACTCCAAGACGCAGTGGATACAAATCTTGCCCGCAATGCTCGCGGTCTGAGAAGATATCAGGTCGGACGGGTTTTGTCTGAATGAGGCCTCTTGGGGCCCTTTCCGGGCCCCGGGGCCGCTGGAAAAGGCTCACAGGATGAGAAGTTGGCCCAGGGGAAAGACTGGGAATTTCTGGGGAAGCCGTGCTGCACAAATCAAGTCATCGCATGTCTGTCCAGTCGTCGGGCGGGGCACAGGGATAAAACGCTCCAGCGCTCTCCGGAACGTTCTCGGAGCGCGCTCCAGGATGCTCCGAGAAGGCCGGGGGCGCCCGGACCGATCCTGAGCCGATGCAGGCCAGGCGGGAGGGCCGCCGTTGTCTCAAGCGGCTCGCCTCCGACGAACACGTCCGCAGGCCCCCAGCGTGTCGAGCGAGATCGAGGCGGAGGTTCGAGCCTCGAGGGTCTCAGGGCTGCCCGCAGCGTCCCGAGCGGCCGCCGGAGGCCCGAGCGAGGGCCCGAAAGGCACCTCCTCCTCCTCCTCCTCCTCCTCCTCCTCCTCCTCCTCCTCCTCCTCCTCCTCCTCCTCCTCCTCCCTCCTCCCTCCCTCTTCTCCTCCTCCTCCTCCTCCTTCTCCTCCTCGTCCTCTCCGCCCCTCCACCTCCCTCCTCCTGATCCTCCTCGTCCTCCTCCTCCTCCTCCTCCTCTCTCCACCTTCTCCCCTCCTCTTCCTCTTCCTCCTCCTCCTCCTCCTCCTCCTCCCTCCCCCCCTCCACCTCCACCTCCTCCTGATCCTCCTCCTCCTCCTCCCCTCCCCTCCTTCTCCTCCTCCTCTGCCTCCTCCTCCTCCTCCTCCTCCCTCCTCCCTCTTCCTCCTCCCTCCTCCCTCCTCCTCCTCCTCATCCTCCTCCTCCGCGGGTCCGAGGGTTGCAGAAAACAGCTCAGAATGAGGATGAGCCCCTCTCTCTCTCTCTCTCTCTCTCTCCCTTCTCTCATGTTTTTTTTGTTTTTTTTGTTTTTTCTCTCTCTCTCTCTGGTTCTCTCTATCTCTCTCACTCTCTCTCCCTCTCTTTTTTGTCCCAAACATTATGTGGCTTTGGGTCTTTCGAAGAGACAGCGCCCCGGTCACTCCTTCCTTCCTCCCTTCCTTCCTTCCTTCCTTCATTCCTTCCTTCCTCTCACCCTCCTCCTCTCTTCTCCATCATCAGCATCATCATCAGCAGCATCATCA